GCATTCCCGCATCATGCCGACTGTTTTATGTTCTGCTTTGTAGCCATCAATGTGGTCAAAAACAAAAATTCTGGCTTGAAGAGGAGACCTAGGCCCGTATCTTGGTTATGCTCCAGCTCGCAAAGCTAGGTTTTAGGATCAAAGAAATATTGACCAAGTGCTTGCCAAGCTGCTTCGTATTATATGAACACTAATGACTGCCGTTTGGTCCCAAAGCAAGGACAGCCGATTACGGGGCAGGCTGACGGCAACTGCCCCCCCCCCCCCCGCCCTGCTCCATCTCGAGCCAGCAGTTAACACGCGCCCGGGTGGCCGGTTGAATACGCTTTGCTCGGGTGGAGCGTCAATTTGAGCCCCCTCAGCTAAGAGATAAATAAAGAGATAAAAAGCAAGGTCAAAGTCCAGATTGGTCTCCAAAGTACCCCGTAACTTAGATTCCTGTTCTAAAGAGAGTCACATGCACATTGAAGGTCAGTGACCTTCTTTGATCTTTTTAAAGTCATGGCACTAAAATTATACAAGACTGCTTTGAGTTTTGTGCTTAAATACGCGGCAAATATTACCCCAGACGGTATGCTGTTCAAGCCAAATGTCTACCTGAGCTATTTGTGGTCAGTGACATATTCTGACCTTTAAGAAGTCCAAAATTATTTATAATGCGGCTCCTGTTTTCAATCAGTTCAAAATGAAACTCGTTAAGAAATGAGCTGGCTGCGCTGGTAGCGGTCGATGCACTGCTGTTGATAACATTGATACATTAATACATTGATGCATTGAAATCTTTGCTAACGCATACTGCGGCAACACATGTGGTACAAAAACATACGGTTTAAATCATACCACTTATGCTCGCGATTACACAGCATCTGCGGTGCGTGTCACTTTCCTTTACCATCGCTCACAATTACATAATCGCTCACAATGCATCGTTATCCGTTACGATATATTGTCAGGTCATCCTTCAAAATTAATTCGCAGTTTTGCCCTGAAAAAATTCGGGTTTTATTTGAGCTACATAACTTCAAATATCTGCTTCCATGTATCCATCACAATCTTTTAGGTCGACTGTTGTCTGACTGGCATTTTTTCAAAAGTAATGGAGCGCATATTTGAGAAAGAATCATTATTCATATCGCAGTGCACATTCGAACACAAGCGTACATGGGTCCAATCTGTGCATCGTCCGAAATGGTCTCACTGAGCGGCTACATAAGCGGAACACAAAACGTAGTGAAGTGAGTTGTGAGCACTTAGCATAACCGTGTCAACGCCGCTTTTCCAGTCATCGCTTCCACCAATGTAATCAAACGTATATTTGCATCGGCTGTTTTCTCTTGTGATGGTTCTCTTTTGTGAAACGTCAGCGTCCATCAGCCGAAATAGATGCTCATTGGATTGCGTCACTAATGTTATGGTGAACCATACCTCGGCCACTTACACACGTTGGTTAAGTTGAGTGCTATGAACGATTGCCGTCATTGCCGAGCACACTTTGAGCAGAGCCGTCTCCTATCTAGTGGTATTAAATATACGTGGTGTTAATCATAGATATTTAATGTCACTAGATCGGAAACAGCTATGCTCAGTGTGCTCGGCAAACATTGGTAGTGCATCACGTTAAACTTAACCAACATGCTTAGGCGGCCGAGGTACATGGTTTGACTACATCTACGACGCAAGGAAATGAAGCAGTTATTTCGGTTGATGAACGCCTGCGTTTCGCAGCAGAGAACTGTCACAAGACAAACCAACCGATGTAACTACACCTTTCATAAAATTGGTGGGAGCGGACACTAGAAAAACAGCGGTGAAACGCTGACAGTAAGTGCTTCGAACTCATTGGGCTATGGTATGTGTTCCACTTATGTAGCCGCCCGGCGGGACAATTTCGGGCGATGCACGGATTCCATCCATGCGTGTTCATGTTCGAATGTGCCTTGCAAGATAATTATCGGTTGCCATCTCTGTGAAAACGATTCTGATAGCTGTACCAAATTAGTTTAGAAAAGTGGCAGCTCAGACCACATTGAACCTGAAGGAATGTGATGAAATCTTGGACGCAAAGAGTTGAGAATTCTGTGGCTTAGGAACGAGCCGAAATTGTTCAGAGCAAAACTGAATAAATTTTAGAGCACGACCTGACAACATATCGTACCAGATATCGATAAAGTGTGAGCGATCCGGTGACTGTGAGTGATGGTAAAGGGACGTGACGTGCACCGCAGACGTGTAATCGCAATCATAATCGCTGTGGTGTAAGCCGCATGTTTTGTATTACAACATGTTTTGGAAATGTGAATAATGGCTTTGTATTACAACTTGCTGTCGTTACTGTTAATAGCGCACTGTATGTATGCTGCCGCATTGTAAATGCCGTAGTACACGCTCCTCGTCTTATTGATGTTGGCATGTGTTCTGGCAGCATAAATAAGGATCACAGAGCAATATGAAGCCGAGCCTCGCCCGCACCAGATAATCCTTGACAGTACCAGTACCGGTACCAGTGCATTGATCGGTACCACCGCAGTCAGCTCATTTCCTGGTCTCGCTAGAGCCAGTGAGGTCACCGATCCTGTGAGATGCCGCGCAGCAGCCTGTCTCACAAAAGTCAGTGCAACAGCCGGTCCCATCACTCACTTATCTATTTCACTACTCTCCAGTGAAAACTGGAAGAGCGAGTTTAGTGAAGCGAAGTGCTTAAGCGCGACGCCGAAGGAATGGACGGACCACGCAGGATGTAAACTGCGGCCCGCCGTCCGCTCTCAGCAGAACGGGAACTTCTGTCTGAAAGGACAGAGCCTAGGACACGGGTGAGGTGTCCGCTGATACCGAATTACAAGGGCACGAGACGACATGAAGCCAGCCCGACCTATTGCCGACATGTACCAGGTACATGCGCCTGGCCACGTGAAGTGCTCCACAGATATCGAT